AAAATTAATTAAAAACAACTTGAATCAACTAAGGGAATCTGTTAACTGTTAAATTAATAGTCTGGATAATGATTTTGAGATAATCTCATAAAAAATAAATTGAAAAAATATAAAATTTAATTTTTAATAAATCTAATATTAAAATGTAAAATTAAAAAAATATATAAATAAAAAAAATATTTACGAGATAGGCTCCCTTTTACTTTTTGTTAATAATATTAATAATTATAAACATATAAACGTATCGAGATTGGGAGGACCAGAAAAGGCGGAAATGTAAGAACAGAGGGCATTTATATGGGCCCATAATAAAAAATGCTTTTCGGTGAGTTTTGTATAACAGAAGAGAAGCAGATGCAGCAGGGCTATCGGTGTATTTGTTTTTTATTTTAAAAATATTTTTATTTTTTATTTTAAATTAAATTTTTTAATATTATATTAAAAATAATTTTTTTATAAAAAATATTATTTTAATATATTTTCAAGTAATATTTTAAAAAATTATTATCATCCTACTATCCAACACCACCGATTTACAAGTAGAACGGCGAACAAATGTTGAAACGATTCAGGCTTGAATCCCCCTTCTCCTCAAGTTCAAGTTCAAGATCCAATATCAATAATGATTCATTGTTTCCTTTCTTCTTCTTCTTCTTCTCCAGACGCGTGAAGTTCCCTGTCTTGTCATCAGCGAATTTCTTCTCTCTCTATATATATATAACAGTTCTATTGTGCTGTGTAGTTGTGGAGTATTAATGCAGAATACTGCAACTTCAGCCCCCCCATTAGCTGACGAGGAGGAAGAAAGTTAGGTGAAAAAAAATGTTGTGGAATCTGTAGTACTTTTGTCTGTCTCCGTGTCTTTCTTTCAAGTTTAATTAATATTGAATTCTTAGTTGGCAGCATGGAAATTCATTAAAAATTTTCAATTTCTGTATCTTGGGCTAGCCTTATTTGTAATTATTTATAACCTATGACATTGATTTGAAAGAACATAACATGATTACATTAGTCATCTTAAACACACAAAGGATGAATTGAAGAACATGCATGCTGTTACAACAATGATACTCCATTGTGGATGAGATGAGTCACTCATCTATCACACATGTTTCTCAGACCACCTTGAATGCTGGGAGTGGCTCTCCTGGATTTTCACATGGTCTTGATTGGGCTATAGCTAGAAAAGGTGTTACTGTGAAGGATAAAAAGCCTTTAGAAACTCGAGTCATCTTGAGCTACAACAGAAAGGTGCAATCGCAGCAGGCGGTAACTTCAACGCATACTGTTACTATTTCCCATGATCTTTCTTTATATTCCATCACTGTGTTTGTCTTATTTCTTTCTTTTTTTCATTTGTTTCTCCTTTCTTTTGGAATCTTTGTCAGGAGTTCCCATTCATGTTAGGGGGAGTCTTCCTGGGAGAGCTTCTGAAATTTCCAAGCCATAATTCAGTAAACTTCTCGAACAGGCATGTTTTTAGTATGTGTTGTAATGTTTTTATTTTCTTCCGGTCTATGGACCAAAACCTTCTATCATATTCAATCTTGAAAGCATATCAATTTTCTTCGTGAGGCACAAGGCCAAGTCCTTCCTACTCTGGGGTTGTGTTGTAGTTTACAAGTTGTAGGTGAATTTATTTATAGACACAGTAAGAAATAACAATTTCTGCAATTTACTGGGACATGTTACTATTTTCCTTTGATCTTTTGATGTTCGGGTTCAGTCCGAATGTACTATGCCTGGTTGACTTGCTTTCTATCCAGTCGCTGCTGGTCCTTTTCTACTTATTTTCAAATGCCTGTGGTCTTGCCCTTGTCAGAAAACTTATGTATAACTTAAGCGATTTGGAAGTTGAAACATGAAATGGTTGCATGACTATAAATACTTGCATAGTTGGAACAAGAAAAAGTTCCAGGAGTCCATCAATCCCCAGTTTTACGAAGTGTTAACCACAGACAAGAACTGCGAGCTAATCCAAATCTCTCCTACATCAATTTCTGCCCTCCCAATCTTTGGTTAATAGAGGAATCTTTCTCTTGAGCTGCCGGATCAATTAATTGTCATGGAAGATATTATTCACTGGTTCTTTTAGCTATCCTTTGGTATGCTGTGACATAAGATGTCAGAACTGTAATGGACAGCAATGTTCCAGTGTATTTTTGAACATATTTTTTATGCTTGTTTCTTTGCTAAAAGTAACCTTTTATTTTTTTTTTCTATTTTTTTCTTATTAAGTCACAACTCACATATCTTCCATCTCAAACATTTACATTCATGATGGGACGATTGGTTCATTGTCAATCTGTAATGCAAAAGTCCGTGTAATAAGTGATAGTCCTTCTGCAATATTACATCTTTCCAATGTTCTTTGGGAGACACCTGCTCGTGCTGTTTCACATGACTGTTGTCCTTTGACAATTTATGTTGCTTCATCTATAAGGTGATATCAAATTACATGCATTCATTGGTTCATTGCCTCTAGGGTCTTGCATTAAATAAGCTAAGTTGCTTATCCTAAGGTTGCTTTTTAAATTGTTGTCTTCATAATAAATACTTCTCTTAGTCATTCTTAGATTACCCATGCCATCCAGTAAATGGTAAAAGGTGGTGTGTGGGTTCGGACAGTTGCTAGAAAAATAAATAAATTATGTGGCATCTTAAATCGGTAAGGCAGGCACTAATCTGGGACTGAAGGATCTCCACTTGCTTTTAAAATCTAAAACCTAAAAAAATTGGGGCTAAGGTATAACAACTCTACTTGCTTTTACTTTTCCATTATATGGTAAGATACTGTTTTTTTCTCTAATCTTCCATGATGCCTTTTGATAGAAGTGCATATTGATGAAAACTGATGCTTTGTTTATGAATTCTGTATCTAAGGATTACATTTTGGTCATGCAGTCCAGGTGTTGTGGATGCTGTTGGTCTCGGAGCTCAAGGAAATAGTGGTCTTATAGCTGCAGATATTGAGCGTTCTTCACTTATTTTATGTGGTAAAGCGTCTGCTGATACCAGTGGAATTAAAGAAGCACTAGCCGCCTTGTCCGGGCCTATCATAGCTGCTAGAGGAGGCATTCCTTTATTAGCAAGATAAAATTCTATTATCTGATTTCATCAGATAATGCAATTAAATGCAATGTCTAATGTACGACAATTAAATGTCTAATGATACATCTGGACTTCGTGAAATTCAGGCTTCTAGTTTGCAACTCTGTGAGATAATGCAATTAAATGCAATGTCTAATTAAATGCAATTAAATGTCTAATGATACATCTGGACTTCGTGAAATTCAGGCTTCTAGTTTGCAACTCTGTGATTGTTATATTTGCTCCTGAAGATACCATTCAGACCTGTGCTGGTAAACTGGTATCTGCAGATGCAGGTGTAATTCTTTCTTCTCAAGGTGTTGTGCCATATTTTCAGACAAGGAATTCTGGTGAACCTGGTTCTTTCAAATTCCCATCTGCTATTGTCTATGCAACTTCTGACAGGTAGCCAAATCACTTGCTTTCAGTTACTTCTCATTGTTATTGGCCTGAAAAAATATGGCTTTCTTGTATGGCCTTGAGCCTGAAATGTTCTTGCACCACAGAAATGCAATGATAACATTTGATCAAGCAGTGGCGGAGCTAGGATTTTAGGTTTGGGGGGCAGATGAATATCTTCAGATGAAAAAGTTATTAACATATATGAATTAAATAGTTGGAAATTGCATAGTAGGGTTTTGCAGGTAACTATTTAAGGCTATTTTGTATAAAACTTCAAAACTATTTTGCAAAACCCAATTTACTTAAAGGACTTTTTTATTCATTGGGGGGGGTGGCGGCCCTCCACCAGCCCTCCCTTAACATTGCTGCTGTGATCAAGTTGTTAAGGATGCGATTCTAAGAGATCAATGAATATGGATTTCAGGACATATATTATATAGCTATTGTGTGTTTGGCGATAGCATAAAAACAGCCCAGCTCCTTGGGGATGTTCCTCATGTTTCTGAGGAAGTTTTCCATTCCATGGAAAGTGTTTTGGGAAAATGATTGTATAAGTTGTTCGTTGTAAGAATGCTTATTTATGTATCATGGGCAATGGTGGCATCTGACATATTAGAAACACCACTAGCAAAGTTCACAATGATGGTTGAAGTTGAACCATGGCAATAATAACTTAGCAACTGTATCAGGCAATTAAACATTAGGAATTTAAGATCTTCCCAGATTTAGAGTTTGATGCCTTCAAGATTCCTTCTGTTAGATACCTCTAAACAGACAGACAGTCCAAGAGAGATAATTAATCTTCTCTTTAAAATAATCAAATCTTAAATAGGCCTTAATCCAAGTACTTTTGAAGCTGTAGCTATTTGGCTAAGAGTTGCTGATGGCAAACATGTCATTAGTTGACAATGAGTAGAAAAAAGTGCAGCTCTTTCCTTAATTTAGTTGCATAATCACCTAGTGATTGTTCAGGCACTGTTCTAATATGGCCTCTAGTGATAGTAAAAATTAGTCCAAAGAAAATTTTTATTTGTTGCTTTCTTCCATATTGCTTCAGTTTACATTTACTTTCTGAGCCATGAAATTTTTTCTTCATATATACATGTATCCGTTTATCCTTTCTTGTTTGGAGCAGTTCCGGGACCATTCCCTGTATATCCAAGTTATCTCCTTGCCAAGCAGCCTATCACTTCTTGGCTGGGTATCAAAATGGAAAGTTTGTGCCTGCATATAGTGACAGTCCTTCCATTGACACATTAGAATTCGCAAAAGCTCTTTCATCAGAGGTAAAGAATGAAAGCCTGCTTAATCATTTAATGTCTACAGAAATGATCAGATATCCAATTCTGTTAACAACTATTCTAACACAGATATGTAAATCGATTCATCTGTTCATGTTGAAAGACAACCAAATCCCATCCTTACTGGTTAATGTCAAGGAAGGAGAAAGGAGTCTTACAGGTAAGGGCAAAATGGACGACTTGAAATATTTAATATTCCATCTGTAGGGGTCATCTTTCGGATGAATTATTTGCTTATGAGAGAAATTGCATTTGATATTGTTCATGGCTATTAAGTTTATGCGATTATTTGTGCCTCATAAATATTGTGCATAAAGTATGTTTGATTCCTCTTGTTATGGGATGCCATAAAACCTGGATTATAGGAGAGAAGTAAATGGTGCATGCAATCTGCTTTCTTCATCCTTACGGCTGGGAAAGGATGCCAGGTGACAAGGGATATCTCACAGTAGAATGATGCTTCAAAGTATTAAAATACTATGTTTCTGTCTATATTATTTATCAAAACTTATTATAAAAACTTCATCCCTTATCCAAAAGGAAAAAAAAAGGCCATCTCCTCTCTCTTAAGAGCTTGGATATTGTCAGGATTTAATTTGGTATTATAACCTACACCATAACTTTTGTCCCAGGAGAAGCAGCAGAGACATCAAGTCCAATCAGATGATGATTTCTTGCTGCATATTTGGGTAAAAAAGAAATCGTATAACCTTTACTCTTACATCTTTAGTTATTAATCTCAAATGATTTGTAGGTTGATTTTCCAGGACATCAGTTTCTGACATTCGTTCAATCATCTCTGTCAAATAAGGTAGCTCCGTACATGAGTCTCTGTTGAGAGCTAACCTACCATGGTGTTTAATGTGTATCCTAGTTAAACTAAAGTTCGATTACAATTTTAAAGCTTGAACAATTTAGTTTGTTCAGATAAACTAAAGTTCGATTGTAAAAAATAGATTTAACAAAACATATAAATTGTAGCTTTTCTCGAAACTAAAATTTTACCATAATTTGAGATAAAGAGTAGGTTTAAATAATTTTTGAAGTAATAGAATACCTGGAGATATTTCTAATCAAACGGAGAAATCATTAATACAAGAATGGGAAGACAGAGCTGGCGCAAGTAAAGGCTTAACTCCTCTGCTCCAATTTCAATACAAGCGCATTTAGCAAGCTAGTTACTGTATCAACTGCCACATGACTTGTTCAATAAACTGTTAAACTTGGAAAAAGAATCACAATCACAGATCTGTGCTTGACAGAATGCATGGTTAAGAAAAGAAACCCTCTATATAATTGCAAGCCGTGATCTCCCAGGTGGAGTGATCTATCTGCTTCTTGAGTACTTGCTGTCAAGTTGGCAGGTGATCTCTTGGACGGCCTCTGACTGGCCAAGGAGGCCAGCTTCACAACTCTCTTGGTCCTACAACTGCACATGTCAAATGCCAGTACTTGTTAAAATTCACTTCGCTCTTCTTTTCTATCTGCTTACTCATGCATTGAACATAACTTTAGAAACAAGAGAATCCAAACCCCTCGTTCATATCATTATTAAAATGTACTCCAGGTTTCTTGATTTTATTGCTATAAATTAATATTTTCAAGATATATAGGATGAAATTAAGATGGTCTGTCTACAATCTGATATCGTGTTCTCTGGTATCTATTATTGTGTTCATGTCCTTGGCATATCTTGCAAAGCAAGCTACCAATTCTTAAAGCCATACAATGATTGCTTCAGTTTTTGCTGTCACTTCTTTCTAATTTTATTCAAAAGCTCTGAAAGCCATACTCTTCGTTCATGGCCCAAGGCAGTCACTGTAATCCTTTTGTTTTCAATAATATACATGTATGATTTGATGAGTAGCTCGTGAAAGGGAAAAATGATCTAATCCCATATGTAATATCAATGAAGCTCATATGTTCAATACAGAAAAAAAAAAAAAAGAAGAAGAAAGCCGAATCGTGACGTATTGAAGAATCATTTTCTAATGAATTATGTAATGTCAGCCATTGGATTATAATAATAAGCATGATTAGTAGTGGAATAAAACAGAAGAACAGACGAGAAGAACCTTGATGAGCAGACAGGGTCAAATCCCAGATGCGGTGCATGGAGGAAGTAAATTGAAAATCACGAAAAGTAGTTGACTTGCAGAAGAGCATTAAATTCTGAAGTATTTCCAGCTATACATCATGTTAATTACTCAACTCATCATAATCATCAGCAAATAACAATGCACAAAGTACTCAACCACCTTGCCAGCTATAACTTATAAATACTATGATGTTGTGTCAGTATTGGCTCCTATGAAAGATTACATGCTGTCTCCTTCTCTATCTTCATTAAATAGATAACCAAGCAAGCAAGTAAGCATGCAAATTCAAACTCATGCTTTCTAAATGCTAGCTGCGCCTAGTTTGCTACCAAACTCATTATACAATGAACCCCACCAAGATTTAATGCCATTTTTCACAATGGAAATCCTTTATTGGCTCTTTCCAAACTCTCGTTTCTTTTCTCTGCTACTTACAGTACCTACCACCTCCCCAACCATCACCAGCCACGCTCCTTTAATGCTCTATCCCAGTTAAATACTTGCATGTTTCTTTTTCATTTTGCCTTGCTCATTTCTTCTTCTTTTTTCTCTAGCGAAGTTAAAAAATATGGCAACAGCCGCTTCTTTCAATCAAATTTCAAAGACAGTTTGTGTAATGGATGCTTCTGGGTGTTTAGGTTCTTCCATCGTGCACAGGCTCTTACAGAGAGGTTACAGTGTCCATGCTGCTGTCCAAAACCATGGTTTGTTTGGGTTTTGTATTTTTGCCTCAACTCTTATTCTCTCGTAATTTTTTCTTATTATGAATCATATCTTGCTTGGTATTCTTGATCGTCATATGCCTCCTAATTAGTTCCCCATAGAAACTTTAGATGGATATTTCCTGGCTCCTCTACCTTCTTACTCTACAATCGAGCCAATCGTTTCTTCATTTTTTATATGATTATAGAGCTAGATTATTCAGCCCGCTTCTAGCAACTTCAATTAATTCAAACCCTGATGGAATCATGTATTCCTCCTTATAATTTTACAAAAATCAACTTGCTCAGTTTCAACTAGAATCGAATTTACATTAGCCGAAAGGGAGGCATTAATATTGGAGAGAAAAACAATATTATCAGTTACCCTTCAAAGAAATGGAGATTCTTCTCCTTACAGTGCTGGTCATACCAAACATAACACCACTCGCCTGCTTTATGTATGTTTCCCAAGGCTAAGTGTGCTATAGTTGTGTGAGTACTTGTTTTCAACGTTCATAGTAATTCCTACCAGTGTATGTAGAATTTGTTTTCTAGTTTTTACAGATCATCATCTTCATCATCATCATCATGTATGGAATTTGTCTCTCGCGTTGTTTATTGGACAATTCGATTTGCAGGTAAATTATGGCAATCATTTGAAGGATTATCCTGCAACAAGAAGAACTTGAAAATTTTCCATTCCGACCCTTTTGATTACCACAGCATAATGGATGCCTTGAAGGGATGCTGTGGCTTGTTTTATTCCTTTGAGCCCCCCTCAGATCAACCCACCTATGATGTATGCCAACTCTACATTCTTCTTCTTATATTAGTGCATGAGCGCGTGCGAACATACGAGATTATTCAAAAAAAAGAGAGAGAGAGAGAGAGGGAGAGATCAGAGCGATGTTATTGATACATAAAGCCCGGTTGTTTGGTGTAGGAATTCATGGCTGATGTAGAGGTGAGGGCAGCACACAATGTATTGGAAGCATGTGCACAAACAAACACTATAGACAAAGTTGTCTTCACTTCCTCTGCAACAACTGTTATATGGAATGACAGTCACAGAAAGGCACCTGATCTTGATGAGAGAAATTGGAGTGACCTAAATTTCTGCAGAAAGTTTAAGGTATTCAAGATATTTTAAATTCTAAACGCTTCATCTTAATCGGTATTTGTAGCTTGTGGATGCATCCATTTATGGAAAGACTTGTCAATGTTTCTATTTTACAGAGATGGAAGCACAACAAAAGGGTGCTGATTTTTTTTTCATTTTATCTGATTTATTGTTTGCCCCTGTGAATTTCATGCCAGTGCAAGTATATGGCAAAGAATAATCACATTAATCATAAATTTAGAAGATGATGTTGGCTGCTTATTATTTTGTCACCATTTTCTGGCTATTCTACTTCCTATATCATTAGCTTAGTTTGGTAAGTAATGGGGAGAGGATAGTTAGAAAATAATATAAATTATATTTAGAAACCTTATGTAATAGCTTGAGTTTTTAGGTTAAGATGATTATTTGATATGGTATCAGAGTTTTAAAAACCAAATAGTCATGAGTTCGAATCTTATTGCTGTCATTTTCTCTACTAATTAAAATTAATTAATAACATAAGATAATGTGAATATATACAAATTTAAAGCTTCAAGAACTTTCACTTGAGAGAGACTGTTAAAGAATAATATTCAAAGCTTGATCTTTTGAATCGAGATTTATTTGACGAAGCTAACAATAGAAAAACATAAATATTCCCTTATTCTTTCACCCAACTCTAGTTTTTATGATTAATAACTATGTGGATCCAGATATGTTGATCTGCTTTAAACTTGTAATAGATAAGTTTTGATTAACAAGATTTACATTTTTGAGCAGCTATGGCAAGCACTATCAAAAACGCTAGCTGAGAAGACAGCATGGGCTCTAGCAATGGACCGAAGCATCAACATGGTAACCGTAAATGGAGGGCTCTTGATGAGTCCTGATCTAACAATCTCAAATCCTTATTTAAAAGGAGCAGCTGAAATGTATGAAGATGGTGTGTTTGTTACTGTGGACCTCAGGTTCATTGTGGACACACACATCCATGTGTTTGAAGACGCTACATCTTATGGAAGATATCTCTGCTTCAACCATGTCATCAAATGCAACGGAGATGCTGTTAAGCTCGCTAACATGCTGTTGCCACCCTCCGAATCTTCACTTCCTCAGAGGTTGGTTTTGACATGATGACTTGTTATTAGCAGTTCTTTTGTGGCTTGAAAATCTGATCAAATGCCTTCACAACACATGTTTGGCGGTGTTCAGATAAAAAACTAGCTAGGAGTATGAGCGGAAAAGAGTCAAATTTTCAGAAAGTAGTGTAAAGTGCATGAACTTGAGCTTGTTTGTATAACAGTGGAAGTGTTCACTCTAAGCATTAACCTCTTTGAGATATTTGCAAGCCATGCTTGAATATATAAATCAGCAATTCTCCAATCTGCGGTGGGTTTGTGGCTAAGACAGAGTGTGTGTTTTGTGGGTGTTTAGGGCAGTAAGTAACTTTTTCTGTTCACTTGGTTTGCAGTTTGGAAGATACAAGAATCCACCAACAAAGGATAAGCAATAAGAAACTAAACAAGCTAATGGTGGACTTTGACACTAAACTTCGAGTTGATTGATTGCAGCACAGATGGGCAAGCAAATAATAACTTCATCTGCGCTCCCATTTTTTTTTCCTTAGTAGATAGAGATGTAATGTTCTTTACTGTTACATTTTCTAGGTTAAAATGAGCTTCCACTGATTGGAGGCTGCATATTCTGTGTAGAGTCCTTGTTTCTGGCAAGGAAATACTTGTACCTTGCCATTTGATTTTATGTCGAGTTCATCTACAATGGTTTAACAACTCAAAATTCTTTAGGCATGTCCAAGTTTCCTTTGATTCTTAACTTATGAAGGAGATCATTCTGATAAAATTATTAGGTTCAAATCAAGGTTTTTCCTTTCTATTCCTAAAGGGATATGCTTGCTATTCCTAAAGGGATATGCATAACTTGATCTCCCTCTGAATCGAGGCTCTCTCCTATTAAAAAAAAGAGAGAGAATCGTATTGCTAATTCACATTTTTATACTTGAAGAATCTATGTGTGGAATTTTTATTATTATTATTATAAATCTAACCTTTTTGATATGAAAAATGACAAAGAAAGCCTTGTAGATGTTGGTCTTAATAACATGAATAAAGATGAAGAGTAAAAGGATGTTGTGTATGGTCTCGTATTGTATGATGGTGAGACCACTATATTAATTGTCAAGAGACAACAGTATAGTTGTCTCTTGAAATTAAAAATGTAATGTTATTGCAATAGCATTATTTTTGAAAATGAAGAGAGAAGAGAAAAGGAAGAACGAAAGGAAGAAGAGGCAACAAAACAGTTTATATTCTTTCCTCGATTTTCAGCTCATTCATAGTTGGATCGGGCTAAGATTCTAACAGTAGCTTTTATACACGTCACTTTTCATTCTAAATGGTTGGATCGAAGATTGGTGGTGTGGAAGCTGACTGTTTTGAGAGAAAACAGGATTGTTAGTATTGTGAGTTTTTCTCAAATACTTCTTCTTTAATCTTGTTGTATTCCAAGAATAGATTATTTTTTATGGTATGTATATTGTAGCCCTTAGTTAAATATAAGAAAGAACAGTTGTGAATCCATTATTTGTTAATAGTGGAAGTTTTTAGGTGGACTGCAGTCCTGTGATTTTTCCCGCATCTGGTTTTCCATGTAAAAATCTTGTTGTTGATTTGTGTGATTGTTGCTTTATATTTGTTAATTGTTTGATCCTGATTTTGATTGCACAAAAAAGGAAAAGAATTGGAACTTGTAAATTATGAATTGATCCGGGTAGATTGGTGTCTGGTTATTTGTTCCTAGTTTTCCCAACAAAATGGTATCAGAGCACTAGTTGTGTAGATTGAATTTATTGTGCAGTTAAAATGAAAAAGGAATATTCGGGCATGATAAAGCTCACTTTCTCTAATTATTTTATATAGAAAACAATAATGGAGGATCACTTATATTACAATAATTTGGCTTTGCTGCTTGAGTGTAAAGGGGAAAAGCCTGATGAGATGGATGAGGTAAAATAGAATGGGCTTAATAGAAAGGCGATTGCTTATGTTAGAAAATGGGTATTTTCTAAGTCCATTAATCATATTTTTCAAGAACATGACAATTATATAGTTTAGAAGATGTTGGAAGAAACCTTTGCTAAGAGAAGTGCACAAAACAAGGTTTTTGTAATTAGAGACCATGTAAAGTTGAAGTACAAAGATGGTGAAGATGCTTCAGTGCATATAAATGAATTTCAAGGGTTCTTGAATCAACTGTCATTGATGAATCTTGAGTTAGCCGATGAGATGCAAGCACTAATCCTATTGGGTTCATTACTAGATAGTTAGGAGACTTTGGTGGTGCCACTTAGCAATTCTTCTTCGAATGGAAAGATCACTTTGAAAATAGTGAAGGATTATATCCTCAATGAAGAGAAGAGGAGGAAAGGGATAAGCACTTTCGAATCTCATGCACTTATTATAGCAAGTTAAAGGAGAAGTCAAAGTAGGTTCTCTCACGGCAAGCAAGATAGAGAATCCAACAATAAAAAAGGCAAATAGAAGTCAAGAGGAAGATCTTAGTTAAGGAAGAGAATTAAGTGTTATTATTGTGACAAGCCTAGGCATATTAAAAAATATTATAAAAAGTATAAAAGAGATAAAAAGGGTAAAGATGAAGATAAGAATGAAGAGAATGGTACAGCTGTAGTTGTATTTGATGGTGATGTTACCATTGTTTGTGATGATGATTATGTTAATCTTACATATCAAGATACCACATGGATTGCAGATTCAGCAACTCCTTACCATATTACACCCTGACATGATTTTTGCACATTCTACACTACTAGTGACTTTGGTCAAGTTAGGATGGAAAATCAAGGGATGGCTAGTATTGTGGGCATTGGAGATATTTGGTTAGAAACCAATACTAGGTGCAAATTGCTACTCAAAGATGTCAGGCATGTGCCTGATATGCGCCTACACTTAATCTCTACAGGTACTCTTGATGAAAAAGGTTATCACAATTACTTTGGAGATGGTAAGTGGAAGCTCTCTAGAAATTCA